AGTGAGCAAGACCCCGGACAGATCCCTACTGACAAGCATGAGAAGTAGCCTGTGTGTTTCTGTGTGAAAGAGCACATCAGTGCAATAGTCCTTATAGCCTTTAGCCTCTGACTGAAACACCAGCACACGAGCAGGCTGGCACAGCATGGGTGCTGTCAGCATGCAGGTAGGCACTAAGTGAGAAAGCGCTAAGTTAGCCTGATCTTACATGTCTACTGTCCTGTAGCAGCCCTCCAACGCTGGGTGCTGGCGTGCTCTGCAATGCATGTCTGTGCTTCCTGTGCATATGAATTGGAAAGGTGCCAAGAGATACTGAGGGTCTGGAAAATATCAGATGCCAATGTCTGTGGATGAAGGCTGCATGTGGCTGGTGCCCATGGATCCTGTCCTGAGATGCTGCTACTGTGTGCTGACCATCTTGGGGTTCTTCACAGCCTGCAATGAGCTGAAGTCACCAGGCACCTGCTCAGACCTCCGTGTTGAAAATTCTTTAGAATTCTCAGGTTTGTATTCAGGGGTGGTAGAATGGGAATCTAAATATTAGTGAAGCAAAATGTGCAGTTAATAAGATTGTTAACAAGCAATAATCCCCCTTAACAGGCAAGTCACCACTCCCTAGTGAGAATCTCGCATTTGCCCCTAGATCCTGTTTAAAAGATTAAGCAAGTTGCTCCTGACATGAAGATTGGCTTTGCTGGACTTCTTATATGTTTTTGCCACAAATCTTATCATAGCCTATGTCATTCAGGCTGTTATAAAATTCTACACTGTGTTTCTATCTCCACAGATGATTACAGATCTGCTGAACATTTCTAGCATTCTCTGCTTTTACTTCCAAATTCCAGCATCCAGAACATTTATTATTATTTATCAATGCTTCTCCCATTGGTTTTGAGATGACTTCCAAATTAGCCACGGGCCAATGTACACACTTCTCACATTCTCATTAGAAACTCTCGATTAAAGGAGACTAAATTCCTCAAGTCAGAGCTTGTGGACACTCTCAGCTCACAAAACAAATACCCTAAAACCTCAGAAAACCTATAGGTGGTGAGTCAGAGAAAGCATTAAATCTGATACATTACAAATCTTGACTTTTTTGGTAAACTTGATTTGCTCATTAATTCTATTTACGTTTCTCTTGGAGCCAAGGACTTCTTAATATTGTATCCTTTATCCTTCTATTGAGAGTGGGAAAGAATGTTGGCTGGTGTTAGGCAGTTGGTTCCTTAATTCTTTGAAGATGAAATAATAAGTGATATTATTGGGAGAAATAAGAGTGCAGTGGAATTACACTTAAAGGTAAATGATGAAGTAAAACAGCTCTTTAAAAATCAATAGCAAACATTAGCAATGTTTTTGTCGCCGTTCCCTGTGAAGTGGTTGTCTGTTGAATCTCCGAGTAGTAAACATTGAGCTGTACTTGTCAAATTGCCAACTAGTATCTGCAGTATGATGTAACTTTCAAAGCGCTGTTTTCTTCTGAACACTGTAGCATAACAGGTAAATCTTTGAAAGCGTTGGTTTGAACTGCATCTCAATAGTGTGCATGTCTGGGTCCAGAGATGAAGACAGGGCACTTTCATCCCCTAACTGGAAGCACGGACAACCCATCACAGCTTCTCCATGCCAAGCACTGATGCTATCAATGGTCTGGTTTCATTCACATAAGAACATTTTGTAATGCCACTCTTGCTTCCTACACCAAATGAGAAAAAAAAAGTAATGTAACCATAGTCTTACCAGACCATCAGGCTGCTCTCTCTTTCGGCAGAGATGAACAGTGGGTGGTTTAACCTGAGGGTCATTACACCACAGGCAAGGAAAGAAGTTGAGAAAGACAGTCCTTCACGGTAACCTCACCAAAATGTAGCAATTTCAGTAAAACAAATGAGAACATTTTGTAATTACGCTTCTGACGAAACTCTTGTCAGAATGCCTTACTAAATCCTCCTATCTGTCCAAGTTTTGGTTAAAAATGAAGCCACTATTGAGGAAAAGAATGGTTCTATTTAATACAGAGAACCATCCTGCTCTGAAAAATACTGAGAGAGTAACCTCTACATTCAGACAGGAGGATGAGCAATCACAATTTAATCTGTGGTCAGATTGGGCCAACAGGGGAGGAAGAAATGCACTGGTCTCCTTATGGTTGCTGAGGTAAGAGTGCTCATAAATTGCCTAAGTACACATTGTCACAATGCCTCTTAGGTGACCCTCATTATAAAATTCACTACAAAATCTGAATGCATGAACTTGCCAGCTGTTCATCTACTTTCCAAATGTACTATGTGCCCAGATGGTTAACACTGTCTTGTGTTAGTGTTGGTGTTTGAAAGAATGTCGTGGAAGCATGCAGCAAACACAAATGATACCTTACATAAATGAGCCTGATATCCACTGACAGAAGATGGTTTTCTTCTAAATAAGTTCCTGCTCACAACTTCCGCAGGACAAAGTTGTGTAAGGTACATGAAATGTAACCCATCTTGGACCTCTCCATGGACCTCTATTAGTTCTAATTCAGCAGGTCCTCTTCCAGCAGCGGCAAGAAAGGAACAGGAAGAATGGGATGCCATCAAGTCATTGAGGCAGAAGTAAATGAGCAGCTTGTTCAATGAAAACTCAAAGCTGGTGAAGTTTGATGTAAATAACTAAAACAATTCAACCCAAGGAAACCAGATAAGTAAAGAAACTGTACATACAGCTGCTTAATGCAACTGCCAAAGGAGATTCCTTCTTGGTAGCATAGATAGTTGTACAGGCTAATTAGCCAGCACCTATTAATGGTGCACTAAAAAAGTGATTTGCTGTGATCATTCTTGTTTAGAAAAATTAGGGCCTAGTGTCACTCTCATGGGTCCATCAAAAAGTTTATTTGGATGGGCTTAAAAGCTAAAACTTAATTATGAGTCACAACTTCATCAACAATATTTATAAGACATTACAATCCTAATGCATGTTATTTCTGATGGACATGACGTCAGTGATAACCAGAGTTACACAGTGGAATCAGACCTCAGCACTTGATAACAGGGTGTCTGCCCCTGATATGTTACAGAAATCTTTAGCCTTATGTATACTTGTAATTCCAACGAGTATCTGTCCTCATATCAAAACAAAACGTCCTGCAGAAACTCAGCAGCATGGCAGCACCTTCAGAGAGTGAAACAGAGTTAACACTTCAAGTTCTGTATGCCTCTTCTTCAGAGCTGCTGGGTTTCTCCAGCTCTTTCTATTTTATGCCAGTTATCCAGCCTCTGCAGTATTTTGTTTTTTTTTGAGTGCGTATCCTCCTTATTTTACCTCCCAAAAGTTCACTTGCCAATTACACAACCACTCTGCATGTTTATTAGTCCCTTGCTACATTTTTGCAGTTCTCCTCTGTATGAACCACATCCCACAATTCAGTGCAGGAATGTAACCAGTACTGAAACTCGAGTTCCAGACTTCTGTGACTAGAATTATGACAGTGCATTGGCAAGGCCAGGAGCTATGGGAATAGCATGTTCAGTCTACACAGATATACTTGCCTCTAAGAAACAAAACCCAAAGGGAAAGGTAAATCAGCCATGGTTAATGATAGAAGTTAAAGGTTACATTAAGTCAAAAGAAGTGGCTTATAAGGGTACCAGAAAAGTGGTAAACCTGAGGATTCAGAGCAATTTAAGAACCCAGCAAAGAAGAACTAACAAACTGATTAAGAAAGAGAAAGGAGAATATTAATGTAAACTAGCACCAAAATAAAGGTGGATTGTAAAAGCTTCTTTAGGTATGTGAAAAGGAAAAGATTAGCTAGGACAAATGTGGGTCCATCAGGAGAATTTATAGTGGACAGCAGGAATTGGCAGAGAGCCTAAACAGCTACTTTGTATCTGTTTTCTTCATGTAAGAAAATACAGGAAATCTGCCAGAAATACTAGGCAACCAAGGGACTTGTGAAACTGATAAATTAAGAGAAATTAGTATTAGTAAAGAGATAATATTTAGAAAGTTAACTGGATTGAAGGTTGTTAAATCTCCTGGACTAGTTAAGTTTAGTGTCAGATTATTGAAGGATGTGGATAAAGAGATAATAGATGCATTGGGCCTGAAGAGTTGTTACTTTGTTAATTTGTTACCTTGTGATGAAGCAATTAGCCTCTTCAAGCACTTTTTGTGCTAGCTAGGCACCCTGAGGCCCTAACTAATTTCTTCACGCCTAGCCCCAAACACTTCTCCATTTAGATTGTCTTTCCATCTATTAGACATACACCCAAAGCTACTGTCTCATGTTTAGTTAATAGCAATATCTGCAACTGTTATACTTAATTACATTATCTGCACTCTTTTTCAATTCTCTCATGTTCACAATTCATTATAACTTATAATTTAGCATGATATGCAAATCTGGATACATAGTGCAATTCCAAAATTGAGGTTATTTATATTTAGATAGAATAATTAGGTCTCTGGCACTAATCACGAGGGGGTATCACTTATTTTCCTGCCTGTCTGTGTATATTCCTTTAATGTATTCCGATTTTCTTTCTTCTTACCTACCTAAATGATTTCCTAACAATGGGACAATCTTATGTCCAATCCCATGGAGACTAAACTTAACTCACAACCTCTTTTGTAGATCCTTATGAATGCCTGTTAAAATCCAGAGATATGAGATTCATTGACAAGTCTCATCAGCTTTATGACTTGATTTTAAAAAACTTCATTGGTTTAGTTAAATAGACCTGCCTTTCACAAAACCACAGTCTCTTACTCTCTGTTTATGCTTATGCTGTCCTAAAAATAGACTCCAGCAATTGTCCCTGTATTGATGTTAAAATTCACTGCTATGTAGTTACTTAATTTGTTTCAGTATTCAATCTAGAGCTTACATCACTCTTTCAGTGAATATAATCAGAATTCATGAGACAGCCAGAAAACTACATGAAAATACAAAGCAGTTAAAAGCATGGGAAAGGGAAATTCAGAACTTGTCAGTTTTATATGCATGAACCCACCTGCTTATTGGCCTTCAGAACTGTGCGTAAAGTTGCTATCTGCTCACGTTTTGTACTGAGCAGTGATTTCAGTTTCAGGATCTCTTCCATCAGAACCTCTTTATCCTTATCAATCATTGGTGCCAACTCCCGTGCAGCTGCCCTCTGCCGTGACAGTTGGAGAGATCGGTCGACTGCCTTCTGCAGATGTTTTATCTGATCCCTTATGATAGCGTTCAGGTTGTAGATGTTCATCGGCTCCTTTCTGATGTCACTCGTGTCAGAGACGGGAGAAGAAGGTGGAGCTGTTATTACAGGTGAGACCGTGGTGCTGGCCACTTTCGTAGGGTTCTGTTGTGCGTTTTCTTTACCAACCTCCATTTTGTCTTTTGGGGAATGGTCTGGTGAATTTCTCGAGTCAACCGGTGAGGCCATGCCCCTTCGGGCAAGTCGCGGCGACAATATACCCCTTGGGTCATCCGGTCCTTTCAGACTTCCACTGCGGGTGACCCTGCTTTGTCTGTAATAGTCCAGCATGACCCTGTTTGGGGTTTCATTATTACACAAGCAAACATGGTGATAGAGCTGTGCAAGTTCCTCACTAAAAGTTACTAGTTCATCCTGGGCTGTGTTGAGTGTGTTATGCCCGTCATTTGCCATGTCTGTCAGTGTTTTGATCTCTGTTTCAAAATGTGTTACTTTTTCATTATATTCTTTGTTTATTTTCTCCAGACAGCTCACTTGCTGATCCAGCTCTTGCACGCGGTTTTCATATTTTGTTTTTTCCTCTGTGTAGGTCTCCACACATTTATTGTATTTTTCTTTCAAGCTTTTGAGTTCAGCTTTGAGATCGATGACCTCCGTAATTGCTACTTTATATTTACATTCAAGAATCTCCAGTCCATTTATGTCCACCTCATAATCATGTGTTTCTTCTCCAGATTCCCGTCCTTTCTCATTTTCCAGGTTGGTCTTTAACTCCTTGTTGACCTGAAGCCTCCTCATTGCATTGACGTGTTCTGTCAAACTGTGAACCCGTTCATGTTGCTCAGTTAGTGCTCCCTTAGTATGTTCCAGTTGTGTCTGCGATTCCTGAAGACTGACCAAGAGGATGGCCTTTTCCCGCTCTACCTGCAGTAAAAGTGAAATAATAAATTGTGGACATTATTTTATCACTAACACATTTGGACACACAAATGTACAATCATCCTATATGAACATCCCAATTCTGCAGTTTAGATGATAATCAACTGACTTCAGAAGATATCTTGATCTTATTCCAATAATTTCTTACAATTTCAAACTTTTGTTGTACTGTGCACGTTTCCTTCATGATCTAGTGCTCCTGACATATCCATCCTGTTTCCTGAGAGCCTTTTACTACATCTGCAAGAATTACAGCATAGTGTACTTTACCTTTGTTTGTGAAATGAGCCTACTACAGATACCTGTTGTTCATAGCTCATGGGCTGGCATGTAGTTTATATCAGAGAATGATCAACTGCTTATTTTCTAAATATTTATGCAGCAATGTACTCTAAGGGGAGGCACTGAGATTTTCTATTGAAGTCACTTTGAAACTAAAATAAAATCCTGTGAACCGAGCACTCCACTGGTTCACAACAGAATTCCATGGCATTGCATCATAGCATGGAGCTGGAGATATTCCGCTCCATAGAAGCGCAGCAAAATGATATAGGACCCTTACTAATAAGGGTCCATCGCTTCAGCACGTCTCTTGTGCATGCACAGACACAGCCCGAGGTGTCCACTGTCTCGAAGTTTCTGTGGGCACAGGCACCAGCACAGCGTGACCCCTCCATCACATTGTCCCCTCCCACATTCATGATAGGGATGTCAGGAAGGCTGCATCACCATGGTATCTGAGAAAACTGAACCCGGAGGTCCTGAGAGACTGTGATAAAATATCAATCAGTGGGGTAAGCAGCTTTCTTTCAGGGAGCACGATGACAATATCTCGATGACAACATGAAGTAAATGGTTAATGCTCCAGCCCACTCCAGCTGTTATGGATCAGGCCAGTCCCTCTCAAAATATTTTTAGAAGGTAGCCTAGACCCTATTCTTATGTTAAGGGCAGATGTGAAGTGAGGGTCCCAAGTGTGATGCAATTGCTCAGCTTTAGAAAAACAAAATTTATTTAAACACTACAGTTGATACACAAACAAAAGAAAGTTGATTTTAGAGTAACTTAACTATTAGAAAGCTTAAGTGACCCGATACAGCAAATTAACTAATTAACTGTTCCAATGTAGTAACATCCCACAAACACACCCCTTGGCAAAAAGATAAATTCAGCCACAGATTCTTACAGGCAGGAGGGAACAACATCCAGAGAGAGATTTCAGAGAAAGTCCGAGGAATCTTTTACTGAAGCTTGCAACACTTCCGGTGCACAAAATATCTGTGACTGCTATGGCAAAAAATACTAGAAAAAAACCTGAACTGGGAGAACTGGCCACTCCCCTTCCATTGTTAAACTGTTACTCCCTAGACTTTTTGGTACCTCTGCCTTTACAACTTCTCTTCAAAAAAGCCAAGGACAAAACAACCTTTTTAAAGTGACAGCATTGTCACACCATCCCACAGACAGCAAACACATCAGTTAATTGATGTATGAATATTACAACACCTTTACTTCCACAATATTCATCACTTCAATCATTTTACACAGTCTTCATGTCCTGGAGCACTAGAGGTCTTTCATCAAAGATCCTCAGACTGCACCTTCCAAACACACAACCACTTCCATCTAGAAGGTCAAGGGCCACAGATACATTGGAACACTACCACCTGTAAGTTCCCCTCCAAGCCACTTACCATCCTGACTTGGAAATATATTGCCAATTCTTCACTGTTGCTGAGTTAAAATCCTGGAAACCCCTCCCTATTGGCATTGTGGGTCCATGTATAACACATAGACTATAGCAGTTCAGGAAGGCAACTCACCACCACCTTCTTAAGGGGCAACAAGGGACGGGTAATAAATGCTGGCCAGCCAACGACGCCTACGTCCCACAATAAATAAAACTAAATAAGCAGTATCGATTGATTCTGGTTAAAATCACTGGTAACCAGATTAATATTTATCAGAATCATTATTCCTTATTAATCATCGATGGACGTTAGGGAAAAATTGAACAACATGAGTTTTACTACACACATCCCTCAACACTATGGGAAATTTTTCATGGCCAATTCACCCAGCCTGCACATTTTTGTTTTTGTTCCTGATTTACAACATCTGCAGTTCTTTCGGTTTTTAATTAGAATAGATCCTGGAATTCATCTGAGGGAAAGTGCAAGTACTGAAACTGCGATTAGATAACTCAGTGCCATCCTTTAATTTGGTGTATGCAGTTTTCTCCTGCAAAGTAATCTTTGTTGGCATGCTGATCCGATTTCAGCTTATTTTATCCTGCTATACCACAAGATTTCACAAGATCCAACAGGAAACCAGAGCACCTGGAGGAAACCCACACAGACACAGGGAGAATGTGCAAACTCCACACAGACAGTTGCCCAAAGGTGGAATTGAACCCAGAGATAGTAGGAACTGCAGATGCTGGAGAATCTGAGATAACAAGGTGTAGAGCTGGATGAACACAGCAGGCCAAGCAGCATCAGAGGAGCAGGAAGGCTGATATTTTGGGACTAGACCCTTCTTCTGAAAAACATGTCCTTCTTCAGCAAAAAAAATATTTTTTTCTGAATAAGTGTCTAGGCCCAAAATGTCAGCCTTCCTGCTCCATTCATCCAGCTCTACACCTTGTTATCTCTGGAATTGAACCCAGGTCCCTGGTGCTGTGAGGCAGCAGTGCTAACCACTGAGCCACTGTGCCACCCCAAGAACAAGAACAAGAACAGCAAAAGCTGATAGAAATAAATATTGATACTTTTTGCCTATTAACAGAGGGTCTTTTAAAGGCCTTTCGAAGTGTGATTTTTCTTTGATTATGTGAAATCTTGTGGTATAGCAGGATAAAATAAGCTGAAATCGAATCAGCATGCCAACAAAGATTACTTTGCAGGAGAAAATTGCATACCCCAAATTAGAAGATGGCACTGAGTTATCTAATCGCAATTTCAGTACTTGCACTTTCCCTCGGATGAATTCCAGAATCTATTCTAATTAAAAACCGAAAGAACTGCGGATGCTGTAAATCAGGAACAAAAACAAAGTTGCTGGAAAAGCTCAGCAGGTCTGGCAGCATCTGTGAAGGAAAAAACAGAGTTAACGTTTCGGGTCCGGTGACGCTTCCTCAGAACTCTGGGCTCTGAGGAAGGATCACCGGACCCAATACATTAACTCTGTTTTCTCCTTCACAGATGCTGCCAGACCTGCTGAGCTTTTCCAGAATCTATTCTGATGTGAAGACAGCTCAAGAACTGCTGCAGTGCTGCTTTCCTCCATTTAAAACAGCACTTCACATGGCTCTTTTTCTGTTGTTTGACTGGGATTTTCTTAAGATGGATAAATATCACGGTTTAGGTTTTGTATCAATGAATCTAACCCGTGATGCAGACTTCAGCCATGCCATCCTGGTCTCTGAAGATTGCTTGCCCTCCATAAGTGTAGTTATGATATAAGACAATGGGGAATATGTAAAAGAGGCTAACTGTTACCTTCAGTCAAAACTTGGAATTTAATTAAATATATACTTTCTACTGGCAGCAGGGTATTTAAAATCCAAATTCATGGATCATGGGTTCATTCGTAAATTTCATGGTGGGGGGGACATAGTCGGTGATTTGTGCAACCTGGGAAATAACAATAACTAGCAGAATAATTGATTTCAATAACACATATATTTATGCAGTGCCTTTAACATGATTAAACATCTTAAGAAACTTCACAGTGCTGTTTTCAAACAAAGTGTGACACAGAGCGACAAAAAGGAATGACCAAAGCTTTGTCAAAGAAGAAAGTTTTAAACAGTGTCTTAAAGTGGGGAAATGATGCAAAGATTTGTTGAAAGGGATTTCCAAAGCCTAGGGACTGAAGGCATCGCCACAAATGGTAGAACTGTTCTGTAAGGGTTTATGTCTGGCTCATGTGATGTTGTAATGAGACAGTATACATCACAGGAAAGGATCCAATCTCACATAATCTTGCTCTATCATGTCGCATCATGCCAGAGTAAGATGTAGTCACCATTTGGTATGTTTCTTAAATAAAGTTAAACCTTGTCCTTCATCTTATACATAGAGTTGTATAGCACAGAAACAGACTCTTCAGTCCAACTCATCCATGCCAACCAGATATCCCAAATTAATCTTGTCTCATTTGCCCCATATCCCTCTAAACAGTTCCTATGCATGTATCCATTCAGATGCCTCTTAAATGTTGTAACTGTACCAGCCTCCACCAGTTCCTCTGGCAACTCATTCCATACACCTACCACTTTACCTCAGCAGACTGTGCAAAAATTTTTTAGCAGCACAATGAAACTAGGAATACTGTAGGAGCCAATATGATTGGGCATATTGGCCAGAAAAGTGGCCAGAAAAAGAGGAGTTCAGATAATTCAGAGGGTTGTGGAGCTGAAGGAGATTACAGTGATAGGGGAGGGAAATGCCGCAGATAGATTTGAAAACAGGCATAAGAATTTTAAAACCAAGACTTTGCTTGAACCTTCATGTTTTAAACCAAAAATCTGCAAAGCTCACGGGAAGATTGGAATTTAATTCAAACAAAAGGTCGCTATACTTCAAAATAATCTGCAAGATGCTCCTCTATCCTTACAAATCACAAAGGAAAATGTTTGTTCACCAAATGGTACCTTTCAGTCATCCCTTGCTTTTATATTGGAAAACAAATGGTTCTAAGTAGCTTCATAGCAGTGGCATTGTATTTACCTTCAGCTACTGTAACTAAGATGTTCTACGCGTGGCGTCAGGAATAGGCAATAACGGGCAGTGCACGGACCTCCTTGTTCGCAGCATCATGGAGCTTCATGATGTCACATCAGGGGGAGCCCGATACAAAATGCCTGTCCCTACTCATTCCTGTAACCAATGGATCAAAGACATAAAACACACCAACAACAGAGTTCTTTGACAAACCAAAAAAAAACAAAGAAATACCTAATTTGGCTCATAGTGCACTTGTACAGATTTAGTCTCAGATTCTTTACTGCAGCACACAAGACCTGATTGATAAGACTTGAAGATGTTGACATGCTACTGCGTGACAGATTAATATGGCTCTTTGGAGAAATAATCGTGAGAGCTGAAATCAGTGAAAGAGCACAGATTTAAAGATCAGGGGAGAATGAGAATGGAGGTCATACCTGTATAAGCTGTTGCTTAAGTTTTTGCATTTCCGAAATGTTGAGCTCACTGAATAGATCTGAGACTAGAGCTGGGCTGTCAGTTTTTCTGGTACTTGGTGTTCGGTAATCACCATTAAGTTTTACCAAAGATCCATGAATATGTCCATTCACTTTTTCATCATTATTCGGCTCACTGCCATCCTCTGAGAACTTTAGCCCATCAACTGCGATGTTTATGTGATTGTTGTACATGCTGTCACTCATGTTGATGTACTGTGAGAGCTCTTTGCGCAAATTGTTCTTCTGTTCACGCTCATTCTTTAAGGTTTCCAAAGCTTCCTCCAGCTGATGTTCAGCAATCTCCTTTAACCGGATAGCATCTTCTAACTGGCTGTTGAGCAACACTGTCTCCTCTTCCAGGCGTTTAATTTCATGTTTGAGGCCTTCATATTCTACCTGATTACACAGAGCACAAACAAAATTCAGCCTTTTGCAAACATAATCTAATTTTGCCATTAATCTATGTAATTCTTGAGGAGCACTTTATCCTTTAAATGCTTAAAGGCACTCAAATATTCACACAATGCTGCTGAAATTGTTGAGGTTTCCACATCACACAAGACATCACGCCTACAGATAGCAGATACCACCAGACAAGCAGAAACTTAGCTGGTTATCAAACCAGGGTCATCAGCTTAACAGGAGTATGGGCATGCAGTGAATTGTCAGAATGCTGACGAGCTCTTTAGCCCTAAGATCTTGTGTTAAGCTGGTCCCAGTTTACCAGGGGCAGATGCACAGTTCAGTTCCCAGAGCTTTGATCCTTCCATGCAAGTGCACATGTAGCTTAAAACTTTGCAGTGGAGGTGGTGCTGGAGCCAATGACATTGGTGGAAGTTTTCTCCATGGTTCTGCCTCAACCTGTGATGCGCAAGCATAAGGCATTCATGTTTTTGCATTGACTTTCAGAAGGCCCAGAAGTACTTGCTGCAGTAATAACATTGTTTGATAGCACATGACTAAGGTCGTTAACATGAAATATCTGAACTAGCCCAACAGTTAGAATGGCAATTGTTAAATACATGTCAAAAACGAAGCCAGAAAATGTATTACACCACTGAGAATGCTTTATATTCAAGGTTTGAAAGTGCTGCAATTGTCTTTATTTTGTTACAATGTAATTTTGTGGGAATCAGCCTAACCCCAGAAAGAGACTGGTTATTGGATAGGGATATATCAATGCAGATAGATACTAATGGTTTACGAATTACAATCTCCTTTTGTCTTATACCTTACCACCAAAGCAACCCAGGACTTTGAATTGAAATCATGCAATGAGTTTATAGTTTTGTAGATTTATCATTAAGAAGCTTTTGATCCCTCTCCTGAACCATGGCATAATCTGCACACTTGTCAAAACTTGCTTTTCTCAATCAAGTTAAGAATACAAATATCTGCATAGAAGTCTAAGTCCTGGGACAGGATCACTCAAGTACTTCCAGCCTATAAAGTTCCTGTCTCATTTCACAATTACCATGTTCGATGTTAGAAAACAAATTATCCACCCTATCTTGCTTCTTAATCCACAACTTCATACCTTTGCTGTTACTTTGCGATGTGGAATCTTAAGAAAATTCTTAAATTTCAACTATGTATTGACTTCAGTTTTTTGATCTATCATCTCAATAATAGTTTTAAACTGCTTGCAAAACAGACTAATTAAAATGGTTTTTTAATCCATGTTAAAAATTGTTTTATAAATTATTGTTAATCACTAGATCATTCAAAATTGTTCCAAAGAGTTTGCTACCACAGATGTTAAACTTAATGATTTTGCAGTTTCCAGGTATGTTTCCTCATACATTGCAAAATCATCTACTATTATGTAGGTCGTCTTTCAATCTTTAGGAATCTCTTCTGTATTTAATCAACTTAGTACAGTCTAATGTTGGATAAATCTTTACTAACTACTATCCCCTTCGCCTTCACAAACAGAGATATAAATTCTCTGAACCAGGACTTTAGTTATTTTAAGAGTATCTGTTTTTTTCCCATAGCCATGTCCTTTTCTATTTTGAAATGGAGGTTAAATCAGAAAAACAAGAAAGACAGACAAGGTCTACCAGCATCTCAAAAGAGAAAAGTCAATTTTGGGAAAACAGCTTCCTTTTCAGAGATTTCATATTCAGAACAATGACTGACCTTTCTCTTTTCATATACTGACAGACCTTTCGTATAATTTCGGCATCTTCTGGTTCTATTTCAGAAAGTGACAAGCTTGTGAATGAGTGTCTTCAGTAGTGAATATAGGAGTATAGTTGGTATGGGAAAAGAATTTACAGAAACGCTAATTTACTTCATTAGATTGGATGCATTGTTCCCATCATACTTGATTAAACACATCAAAAAAATGATTTCTTTCTCATAATGTTTGTTATACTCACTGATTCAGAAGTTACTTCTGTTTACTTTTGCTCTCATCCAGATTTTATTTTGTTTAATTCTTTGGGAAAATAAACTAAAATAATGAGTTGGCAAATACATATTGAACATCATGGGATTACAAGACTGGGAACCAAATTGCACGCAATGCCAAGCCTCTGCCAGAGGGGCACTGACCCACCCATTGTGCTCTATTTGACAATCTTGCCAGCAGATACCTTTAGTCTTAAATAAAGTTATTCCAACTGAAAAAGGTCATGCAGAACACAAAAATATAGAGCCTGCTTCATGGTCACAAGAAATGATCATTTTCAGAAACTTGACAAGCTGCAGCTTCTGTGAACATGAACATAAATCAGCAAATAAAGAAACTCATTCATCACATTAAAAAAAAACTAAGAAATGATTGCATGAATTACATTCAAAACTCTTGAAGTTTTCTTTTTACCCCCAGGAGAAATATCAATTCGCTTTATTTAGCAGTACATAAAAAATAACAAAAGCGGATGATTAGCAAACTAATTGACAGTTTAGAGTTACCTCAGGGCAGTCCTGCTGCAATGAGGAGCTGCAGCATTCTCAACATTTTCCAACCTCTGTTCTGCGCTTATGTAGACCCGACTCTCTTTCAATTCTTAAGAGAAAGCTCATTATTTTTCCAAGAGTGAGAAAAATGAGAGTAACCCTCAATACATTAACCTCTAGAGTACAGAATTGCTTTCTTTGTAAAAGAAATTAATTTTCTTTGAAAGTACTTGTTCAGAAAAGAAGTACAGCAGTCCATGATGGAACCATCACATCAGCAGTTGATGTAAAATTGCAGCAACCTCTTAACAGTGAGGGAGTACATTTTCAGTTGAAGATTTCTCTCTGTATTCACCAAAGGGGGAAAAAGAGGAGGAGGAATGTTGGGAAGAAGAGGGAAGGAGGGACTGTCACATCCAAGACGGTAGGAATATTGCCAGGAGGAGGTGGAATCACAGACCATTAGCTCAATGAAAGGAGCAGCAAGACCTTGGAATTCAGCAGTGCGTGTCAATTAGCGAAGCTGTGGGTGATACGGCATTGTGAACAATCACCCGGTCGATCAAACTTTAAATCTGAATTACTCGTTGTATGCACATTTGTTTACAAATATTAACTATCCAAACACTTTGAATGTCAAAGAAAGGTATTGGCCCAACAGAAGGAGGAAAACAGGGACATATTGTGCAGTTACTCTGCACAAAGTGTTTGGTACATCATTAGGAGTATTACCACATGATATACTTGGTTTATAATCTCCTCTTCAACATGAATATGGGAAAGGGGCACAACCAATGTTGCTGTGTATCTGCATCTTACTCTATTACAATGATGTATTCATAATTAAGTGGGTAGGCTAAGGGCTTTGTTTTTAAAACTGCACTAATATTTCTTACACTGAATTTTCTAGATTTTAGCTCAAATATAATCTGGTGCATTGCAAAACTAAACTCATCACATTTTACACCATATTGCAGAGCAACAGGTACCAATGGTGCCATCAGGTACAGGAAGCATTCTGCACCCTACACTGATTTCACTCTCCATTTCCAAAGTATCTATCACATAGGTGTCACAAATACTACCACATCTTTAACGAACGGATTGAAAGATATTGGTGCACTTTACCGTTTAAATTAATCAGAGCTTTTCATCACATTACGCTTTTTCTGTATTCACTTTGTTGTCAGTGAGGAACAGTAGAAATAGTGCAAAACCACTAGTATGGTACTTGCAGCACTGGGTTGTACCAAATGTTACTGGGTCTTTCTGGAAGGCAGACATGTGGTGGTTCAATAAGCTGTACCATGGTGTGATCAATCAGTAAATACATATATAACTCTTGGTTAAGCAGAAACACTCAACAGATGGAGCCTCGGAAAAGAAATGGTGGGTAGATTTCTCCAGACAATTCTAACATAATTTATGTTATGTCTACCTTGGAACAGGTATCCTGCCTAGTGTCTAGGCTGCTGAAAGGCTCATGGCACAGCTGATAGGGGAAAATGTTAGTTCTCCCAATGCTTCTAAACAACTGTGGGATTATTTTGACTTCCATAGGAATTGCGAAGATTTATTTGGTTACTGGGTAAACCCTGTACCTACTTTTAGTTTCAGCTGAAATTAATGTATAAAGGAAAATCAGGAGATGTGTTTAATAGGTGGTTGAGCCAATACTGGGTTTTACACAATCGTTTAAAAGTCAAATTTAATAATTGCTTCTAGTTCCTTGAACGCCTGACTGCAGGTTGATAAAGTCTTAAAAAGGCTAGTAACATTTTGGGTTTTAAAAATAGGTTTAGCAACATAAATGAGACTTTCAATTGGGCCATATGAAAGCATACAGGAACTCTGATTTCAGCACTTTTAGAGGTCACTGCAGCATGTGATCTTTTGCTGAATGTTCCACTGCTATCCATTCACCAATCTACACCCTACGAATAATATATATCTCAATCATCATCCATCAGCCTCAAGTGAAGGACATGCCTCCTCCCACAGCAACATAAGAAAAGCACATTGCATAATCTAACAATAGCCTTCTGGTCTAGTAATATCACTCACACTTTTTCCAATGGAGAGATAGAGTGCAATGACCTGCATCAGAAGAGATGTAATTAAAAATTCAAAAAAGAGAAGATGCATATTTCATACACAATACAAAAAAAGGCAACAAGACCACAAACACCTTAAAAGAGGGTGACAGCACATCACATGGTGATGGTATTCTCTCTACATAGACAGTTTGTATTCTCCACTTCTATCACTGTGGTCATATAAAACATTAAGATTGTTTGTTGGGTAAAGCCACCTCTGTCCAATAGCCAGTTTACACAGGTTGTTGGCTAACATGTTGCAATAGTGACAGGGTAAAGACTGTTCACTTTTTTTTCATCAAGATCAGGGAATTTATCCAGAATTACATAATATTAATAAACTACCAAAACTAACAGAATAAAGTTGAAGGAGATTCGTCACAATGCTATTCTGGCTTTATCTATGCGTCAGAATTAAAATCATATTCTGAGAAACCTTTGAAAGCAAAAAAAAATCAGCAGACATTTAAACAATTAAAAGAAAGATGGGGTTAGACAATAACTTCTCAAATGTATTGGCTACTTTTGGTGCAGTTAATAGAAAAATTAACAGGACATATGTGAACTAGATAAAAGTAGGAGTTTAGGCACATGCTGGACAAGGTTAGAATACCATTATTACCAAACAATGTTACAACTGTAAAACAAAATGAGCAATGATCCACAGTCTTCCTCGAATTTCAATTGCTGTTTGATTTGCAAAATAGTCTGCCGTTCACTGAAGAACATGAAAGGTGACACTGGAAAATATAATGCATCTGCAATGTATAATGTCAAAACTCCTGGTAATTAATCTATTTACAAAAAAAACACGTACTTTATCCCTCCTCTCATTTCATGTTTATTTCCCTTACAGTTATTCCTCCAGCATAATTGCCAATGTCAACCAATAGGGCAGTTGGGCTGATTGTGTGTTTAAGCTTCTGTCCCCTAATTATCAGGAATGCTAGGAGGTCAACAAGTTTTATTTCTCTTTCTCTGGGAAAGGTAGCTCGGTCAGTATTTGCTTCAGCTGTGGACATTAAGGTGAGAATAGGAAATAGTGTGTGTGTGGAAGCATTTAGTTATGAAGTTCATTCAAAAACAATCCACTGTCTTTCACTGATGTTGCTTCAGTTTAATGATATTTATCAAGGCCTGTGTTACAATATATTGGGTTGCATATTAATCCCAATATCGAAATTAACAAAATAGATCGCATTAGTTGTTGAAAGTATCGTAAAGCTATAAGGAAATTGATAATCAATAGAATATTCAGCTTTGAAATGTATCATCAAGACTTTAATGTTGAAATTGCCCTTCAGCAGTGGTGCCAAATGGACAACATGGTTATTTGTTTTACATCCTGCCCAATTGACTTTAAGGGAAAAGACGCTGGAAGGGATTAAAAATGAGTCTGCTGATCTTTACTGCCTGTTTTACACTACTGTCAAAACCTAATTTTGTCCCCTTTATACTTTAAAGGCATTTAATTTTCTCCATTTCCCACTCTCAATTTCCCCATTTCTAATCTCCTTCCTCCTGAGAGATGATCCTTGTTGAGATTTCAGTATACCAGGCAACTAGGAAGAGGTACCCAGGGTGAACAGTTCCATTTGGTAGCTCCAACCTTCATGCGCTGACCATTGTCTGTGGTAGCAGAGCTGTGATTTGAAATGTATTTATTTGTGGAATAGCAAATGTGCAGCTTATTTCTTTTTCACACAATAGGTTTGACAACTCTCAGCATCACTATAGAGGACCTAAAATCAAAACCCTTCTGTGCCTTATCTTATTCAACTGTAATTATTTCCTTATAAATTACCACCACACCTCCAACCTCTGACCCCTATCTTCCAGCTCTCATGTGTAACTCCACTTGAATCCCTCCAGTTATTCACCACATCAACAGTATCAAAACAACCTGAACAAAAACCATGAGCACATTCTCTGTGATGGTTGTGCACTGCCACTGCTCAACCTCTCTGAAACATTTAATATTTTCAGGTTCACCATTTTCACCAATACTCCTGCTCCTCTCACTAACTCAGCTGGAATGGACTTCTGTACTTTCATTTAAATCTATCCAAATGCAGCTGAAGCATGTTCTCCACTCCAATACATTGACCTCTGAAAAAACTCCCCTTGGTTGTCTCCTCCTCCACATCCACCTGCTACTACTCCTTGGCATTCCAACTACACTCATGGGGTCAACATCTACATCTATGCTGGTGAAACCCAGCTCTATCTCTCCATGATCTCTCTCAGTGCATTTCCTACTGCTGTCCTGTCAGATTGTGTCCATAGCATTTAGTCTTGACAGGCTAGCCTGCAATCCTCATCTTTGGACCATGCTGCAAGCTCTGCACATTTGTTATCAGCGCTATTCCCCTGTCCAGCCTCTGCAGTAGACTAAATCAGTACACAATTGAACAAACAATATAAAATTAATTCCTAAGCAGAGCTTCTGACCCTGTATTTTCCATATAAGCAACTCAATTCCCTCTACTTCCATTGTAGCGCATCACAGCCTTCAGCAGTTTCTATGCCAAGATCTGGAATTCCCAACCATTAATCCACCTCTCCATCTCCTACTGTGTCTTTAAGACCCTACAAAAATCCACTCTTTTGTACAAACTTCTGTCTCTGTCCCAATAGCTCTACCTTTGCATGTGCTCATTTTTTTCCCTCATACTTCTGAAATGCCTTGCTTTCCTACATTAATATATCAAATGTAGGGTTATGTTGTTTCACAACATAGTTACAGGATTGTTTCTTCCCTCTTGTCTACTGACCTCATCCAGAATGCAGCTGATGGTCTACCTCTTCCATTTTGTTCCTTGTATAAACTTTGGTCATCATGAGTTAATGTTTACGTTTAAATTCATTGAGTATCCAACATGATTCCTACACTCATCGATAGCTAGGGTTGCCAACAAGCCTGGATTATCCCGGGTCTCATGAAATTAATGCCTCATCTTCCGGATGCTCTTGTGAGCAATCCAGGGGCAAAAGTATAGAGACATTTATTTATCCAGTTTTGCCTTGGCCAGATTCACAAGACTTCGCACAGGGTTACAATGCAAACAGAATGCAACATAACTTTAGCACACACGAAATCAGGTAAAACTATTCAATGGATACAGTGGTTTCTGGAGCAGAGAGAATGGGGGTGGGATGTGGATTGTGGCTAATGGCATCAATCACAAAACTATTATTGAGAACTGGTGTAGTCAGTGATATCCATGCATGCAGGAAGGTAGGAGGCAGGAGGAGGGCATGTGATGAAACTTGGGCCAAGCAGAGTTGACAACCCTACCGACAGATATGAAGAACAACTCAACAGTAGGAATCTTTGTTGGGCAATCATACTGTTCATTCTGTTAGGAATCAATGCTGCAGCCCCTCACTTAATTTGGGTGTGTAAGACTTAATCTATTAACATGCAGGTAAAGTATAAATTACAAAGCAAGGAAGAGGGATTGGAAAAACAGAAGTTCGCACTGTAAGCCCACACATTAATTTTAAGACAGTAGCTTTAGAATACAGCTTGCATGGAACAAAACACTACCCACAAACTGATAACCTCAACAGTTTGGATAAAAGCAACAAGCATGGGGTCCTGCAGTTTTTGGTTCTCATATCAAGTTTTTTTTCTTGGAAGTCCTATAATTTAGATCGACATTTAGATGTATTAAGCTTGAGCTAGTAGTTATGACAGCAACAGAATGTATCTCCCAGCTCACATTAAACTTGTGACAACTTGGTCTTGGTCTGTTAGATGTTTGCAAGGGTGGTTCTGAATGCCTTCCCTTAAATGCATTGTCAACGTCATTGCCCCAGCTGGTAAGGCTACATTGCTGTTAACATGGCTAAAATAATGCTTAACTAAGCATGCTCTATTTGTTTATGGCCTGCTCTCTAAACACACACCAATAATAATTCAACAAACACAGTGACTGTGATTAATAATGGGATGATAATACTACTGGGAGCAGAAATTCTAGGAAGTACCAAAAGTTATTTCTTCTTTCTTGATCCCACTTCTTATTTCTGTTTTTCTGAAATTTAAAAATAATTAGTTTCCTTTTTATCTTGACCCAAAAGTTTGCTGTACACCCACCACAGGATCTTAGATATTAGAAGAAAATCTGGAAAGTTACATAGTTAATAAATTGGTAAAGCCTGAAAAAGATCAGCCTCAATCTGTTCCATAACCAATCTGCACAACAGCAGAATCTATACCATACTCTCAAATATTAGCTATAATTTTGAAGTTAGATTGTGCTCTGCATTGCAAAGTTATTAAGTGGATAAGCCATCTTTTAAAAATTTTGTCTTTCTTATAATTTTTGCTGAAGTTTGAATTATTTTTATACTGAAACGCTCATCCTGTTGAATGGATAGAACAAATACTGTAAATTGTCCTTTAGACATTAACAAATTGTACATTTACATAAAATTGTACCTGCTGTTTAATTGTTCACAGGTTTAATTTCCATTTGGTCCATACAGTGTCTCTGCAAGTCCTGGGGACTGCTGGCCTACTGATTTCACAGTAACTAGAGGCTCCACAGTAAATAGACTAAAGGTTCATTCAAAATAACAGAGATAAACCATGAATATTACATGACTACACAATGCAAAAAGTACCTCCCAAAATCTGGATATCTTTGGTAAAACCAAAGTGCAGCCAATTTCAATTCTGATCATTGGCATTGTACTTGGATTTCTACTTGGGATGCTGGCAGCACCTAATGAATTTTCCATCACCAATAAATACCTGATTTTGCTTGAGGGTTGAGACAAGTTTTTGCAGAGTAATGTTCTCCTCTTCCAGTTCAGTGTAATCCTGCAGAAGCCTCGTTTCACGAAACTTGTACTCTCGGATCTCATCTTTCATCCGTATTCTTTGCAGCTCCAACATTTCATTATTCTTAAGAAGAAAAAAAGAAAGATCAAAATGAGATGCTTCAGCTCATTTAATGGTCTACTACCTTCCTGAATGTTTTTGATGAACCGCCTTTTTGCCTTGGGCAGGTGAGGAGATCTGAAGAACCAGATACAATTATTATCACAATGGTGTTACACAAAGTAACAAAATAGCATGATTTCAATTGGGCTTACATTGCTGCCTGGTACCTCTATTAATAAATGCAGATAAGGTGTACAACCACTTAATCTTCAAAACAGTGCCAAAAGAATCAACTGACATGTCGTTTTGACAAAGGAGACTGTCGACCTGAATTTATAAACTAGCTTCAAAATTCAATCTATTTCTGTTGCAAAAGATGTGTTCCATCTGACGTAATTTAAAAATAGAAGGAAGGAGAATTTATTCCTCGAAATAATCCTTAGCCTGTGAGTTGTACGCCTTAATAGTAACTTGTCTAGATCCCTGATATTTGTATTACAATTTTTAAACTTTCCCAGTTCTTCCTTCCTGCTAGGATATGATTAAATATTGGTCATTCAGCATGTCTAAGATAGTCTACCCAAATAATTCCTGTCCTCTCCAACGTTTATGTAAGAATTTTCTATTTGAAGTCAATGGCTAGCAACCAGATGGACTAGCAGCAATGATATGTATCATTGTCCTAGCTTGAAACCTACTAATTCAGTTTAGAAGTAGAGTGAACTTGGCACCTTTCTGGTTAGTACTATTTATTTACTGACTAAATTAACCACCCATTTAGATTGTCTTTCTTCTGATCTGCAAACAGTCACCTTTGGTATCTCACAGCTCTTTTTATTGCAGAGTAATTACATCTCAGAATAAGCAGCTTCATTTTTTATAGTGCAGGAAAAAATGCCATTAATGTATGACATTTTAAACTTAATTATCATATCGGGCACATTTTATCATTTGTTTGTTGATTTATCTCATAGGAAATCTCCTGTACCTCAATATATCTCAGATTTGAAGCCAAAAGCACTTTATTAGTTTTTCTAGTTACAGTATGGTACTATTGGATCCCCTGGTCTCCAGATAGTGGCTTTCCTCAGTTTCACTTGGAATTGAGTTAACCACAAGGAGCTCATTTCAATGAGTTAAAAGAGTCAAAGACAAATGCTTGGACAGATTTTCAAAGAGACAAAGATATATTTTTAATAGATGGTAAATATATGGATAATTCCAAAAATTTAAGGTTTAAGTGGATACCTGAACAATCTAGAATGCTTTTGAAAAATTCCCTGGGGAAAGGGGAGATTTTGTGGTGTTTCAAAATTCATTTCCTCGGAAGTCCTGCATCAGTCTCCATGGTGATGACTCAAGAAGAGTATACATTACTCTGTTTACGACTCTATCAAGTCTTCTCAAACATTTCAGTACTTCCTGGCACAATGACATCCTTATTTTGGGCTGTGGGTTTCTTGTTAAGGAGTGTTTGTTATAAAACAAATAAGGCACATTGCAAAGGGGTTTGCTGCTGAACTACTAATATATTGTAACACTAGATAGAGAGTAACATGGAAATATACAAGTTGTCTGCATTGGTCTAAAGAAGATGAAATAACCTAATTTTACTGAATTAGGTCATCTTTTATTCTTAAGAAAAAACTTGCACTTAAATAATATTTGTCCCAAAACCACAACATCCACCATCTGGAAGGTCAAGGGAAGCAACTACTTTGTAACACCATCATTTCCAAGTCATCTACCTTCCTAAGCATTGGTAATAAAGCACCTTTCCTCCACACAGGCTGGATCAAAATGTGTGAATTCCCTAACTCTCATTGTAGTACCTTCATCACATTGATTACAATAGTCTAAGGTAGCTAGGCGTGACCAACCTCTGGCTCCAATGAGAGATGATCAAGGAATGTTGGCCTTTAAATAAATCAAGGTGCAGCCAAAGACATGGGTTTTAGGGGCCTCGGTATCACTGAGCCAACTGTTCTCAGCCCTTTAAGGATCCTGCAGAAATTTTTCAATGATTCCCTTTACTTAAGAACTACATTATGTGGGTAAGACATTAGGCTTGAGTGTACGCAAGGTTTTAGATAGTTGCAGTAGGTGTATTATTTAGACACCATAGCTTACTTGAGGAGATGCCAAACTGCAGTGGTGATGTGAGCTGAACATATCTGGAAGGACAGGTTTACCAAATGCACACAGCTCTTTGAGGTTTTTTCTGTTGGGTTTCCTCCTATGAGCAGGCTGATTGATGACTGGAATCCTACTTCAGCTAGCTGAAACCTACAAGAGCAGGTAGGTATAGCATGCAAGATAATACTTCTGCATTTCAGGGCTCAGCTGATCAGTAACAGCGATATACCTTCCATCTGATATAGAGTTTGAAATAATCCGGGTTTTAAGCTACCTGCTGGAATAGCACCCCATCCAGCACCTTCAAAATTCATTCGGTTTGCTACTGACATATCGTGGCGGCGGATGCACTGCAGCAACTCACCAAGGCTCCTTCAACAGTACCTTCTAAACCCATGATCTCCACCACTTTCAAGGACAAGGTCAGCAGATACGTGGGAGTAAAACCACGTGCAAGTTCTCCTCTAATCACACACCAATCTGACCTGGAAATATATCATAACAGCATTTAAAAAAGGAGCAGGAATAGCCCATCCAGCTTTCAAGCTTGTCTCACCATTCTATAAGACCCTGGCTGAATACCCCAAGGCCTGAACTCTTCTTTCATGACAGTTCCTCATTGTCCTTAACTCTTTGATCTTGTAATAATCTCTCTCTCCTTTATAAATACTTTCAGTGATCCAACCTTCACAACTCTCTGAATTAGAGAATTCTAGATATTCAGTAGCCTCTGAAAGAAGAAATTCCTTTGCTTCTTAGTTTCAAATGAGTGACCCTTATTCTGGAAATATGTCCCTACATTGAGATTCCCCCATTATTAGAAACATCTTTTCCACATATACCCTGTCGAACCACCTCATATCGCGCAGGTTTCAATACCTTGGTTGCTTCACTGTTGTTGAGTCAAATTCCTGGAACTCCTTCCCTAATAGCACCATGGTGTTCCTACAACAAGGACTGCAGTAGTTCAAGAAAGCAACTTGCACACAATTATATGCCGCAAGGAAATTAGGGACGAGCATTAAATGGTTGCCTAACCAGTGATGCCCACATCCTATGAATAAATAAACAAAATGCAATAGACTTCATGATGCAACCAAATGGTCATAGTCTTGCGAAGGTGGCTAGGTGCAGAGATCTCTGTACCTTCTCCAGTCAGCATCCATTTACAACTGGCATTTGGCACTCTCACTCTATGGGAGAAACATGGTATAGTAGTGATGTCAATAGGATAATAATCCAGACGCCCAGGCTAATGTTTTTGGGGATATGCGTTTGAATCCCAGAATGGCAGATAATGAAATGTGAATTCAATAAATATCAGAATAAGAAACTTCACTAATGGCTTTCCTGAAACCACTGTCGATTGCCATTAAAAACCCATCAGATTCATTAATGTCCTCCAGGGAAGGAAGTCTGCCATCCTTACCTGGTCTATCTTACATGTGACTCCAGACTCACAGCAAAGTGATTGACTCTTAACTGCCCTCTAGGAAATAAAGGATGTGCAATAAATGGTAGCTTAGCCAGTAATACCCAAATCCTATGAACAAACCGAAAAAATCTAATCTCACAGTTAGGGATCCTCTCGGAAGGAGCGATCACAGTATGGTTGAATTTAATATACAGATGGAGCGTGAGAAGGTTAAATCCAGTACCTATGGCCTGTGCTTAAACAAAGGAGACTATGAAGGAATGAGGAAGGAGTTAGTTAAGGTAGAATGGGAGCAAAAACTTTATGGTGGGTCAATTGAGGAACAGTGGAGGACTTTCAAAACAATTTTTCACAGTGCTCAGCAGAAGTATATTCCAGTGATAAGGAAGAACTGTAGGAAAAGAGAGAGCCAGCCATGGATGTCTAAGGAAATAAAGGAAAGTATCAGATTGAAAAAAAAACACATACAGAAAAGCAAAGAGTAGTGGGAAACTAGTAGACTGGGAAATCTTTAAAGGCCAACAGAAAGCCACAAAAAAAGTTATAAAGAAAAAGTTATGAGAGTAAACTAGCTCAGAACATAAAAACAGGCAGCAAAAGTTTCTATAAATGTGTAAATCGTAAAAGAGTGGCGAAGGTAAACATTGGTCCTTCAGAGGATGAGAAGGCCAATTTAATAACTGGGAATGAGGAAATAGCCGAGACATTAAACAGTTATTTTGTGTCGGTCTTCACAGTGGAAGACACAAATAACATGCCGAAAACTAATGGCAGGAAGATTATAGCAGGTGAGGACCTAGAAACTATCATTATCACTAAGGAGGCAGTGCTGGGCAAGCTAATGGGTTAAAGGTAGACAAGTCTCCTGGCCCTGATGAAATGCATCCCAGGGTACTAAAAGAGGTGATGGGGGAAATAGCAAATGCACTAGTAATTATTTACCAAAATTCACTGGACTCTGGGGTGGTTCCCGCAGATTGGAAAACAGCCAATGTGACGCCACTGTTTAAAAAAGGAAGTAGACAAAAAGCAGGTTAGGCCAGTTAGCTTAACTTTGGTAGTGGGGAAAATGCTTGAATCCATCATTAAGGAAGAAATAGCAAGACATCTGGATATAAATTGTCCCATTGGGAACACCCAGCATGGGTTCATGAAGGGTAGGTCATCTTTAACTAATTTGGTGGAATTCTTTGAGGACATTACTTGCATGGTGGACAATGGGGAACCTGTGGATGTGGTGTATCTGGATTTCCAGAAGGCATTTGACAAGGTGCCACACGAAAGGCTGCTACATAAGATAAAGTTGCACGGTATTACAGGTCATGTATTGGCATGGATAGGGGATTGGTTGACCAGTAGAAAGCAAAGAGTAGGGGTAAATGGATGCTTTTCTGGTTGGCGGTCAGTGGCTAGTGGTGTGCCTCAGGGATCAGTGTTGGGACCGCAATTG